TCAAGAGTCAGATGCTTAACCGACTGAGCCACCCAGACGCCCCCGTAATTTCTAAATTGTTACTTGAAAGTTCTGAGAAACACACCTGCTCCCAACTCTCATCCTCCAGGTTGATGAAATCTTTCCTGAAATTCTACCTTAGAGATTCAGTCCTTGAAAACAAAGGCAATCTTTCCATTAAAATACACACACCTGTTCAGTAGGGTGAAAGGATAAACAAAATGTGGTCTATCCATACAGTGGAATGTTACTCAGCCATAAAAAGGAATGCAATGCTGACACCTGCTACAACGTGGGTGAATCCTGAAAACATTAGGTTAAGTGAAAGAAGCCAGACACAAAAGGCCACATACCGTGTGAATCTATTTATATGAAATATCCAGAAGAGGCGAATCCATAGAGACAGAGTTTAGATTAGTGGTTGCCTGTGGCTGGAGGGAGGGGAGAATGGGGAGTGACTGCTTAATAGGTCCAGGATTTACTTTGTGGGGGATGTAAATTCTGGAAGTAGGTAGTGGTGATAGTTACCCAGTATTGTGAATATACTGAGTTGTACACTCTAAATAGGTACAATGGCAGATTTTATGTTGGGTGTATTTTCTCTCTCTCTCTCTCTCTCTCTCACACACACACACACACACACACACACACACACAAATATACACTCCTGCTTGGAACCCTTTAGAGAAAGGTCAATGGTGTGATCTAGAGCGAGCTACTCAGTTTTCCATTTCATCTGTAAAATGGGGACAAGTCACTGAGGATGAAATGAGATACTGCATGTAAAGGTTGCACATATTGTCTAAATAAATGGTAGCTCTCATTAACATTCATCCTCAACTGGCCCTTTAAGTCTCGGGTGAATTTCTTCTCGAGAGCAGCTTTTGAGACGACAAAAAAGATGCTTCTGGGGTTAGAGCCACTATGAGAACACAGAAGGATGATCCATGGGCAAAATTGGCCTCCTTTTTAGTTTTACCTCAGGCAGATCCATGAAAACACTGTCCACTCCACAGAGAAACTGAACACAACCAAAGAGTATGGGATGGGAAGAGAGAAAAGGCTTGATTGGGGTTTGGGTTTCAAGGGTTTATTCAAAGCCCGTGGGGAGAAATCAGGATAAAGATGGGAAATAACAGTTTTGCTCTTGGCAGAAAGTGAGTTTTAATTCCAGAATCCCCTGGGCCAGAACCCTTTAAAACTCTTTATCCCGAAAGAGGTGTCAGGCCAGATCTCCGGGAAAGGCAAGGGGACAGGGATGAGGTCAGGAGGGAGGCCAGGCCCTCCAGGCCCTGCCAGTGTGACGTCACCACCATGGCAGGGGGCAGCCCCATGGAAAGGCACCATAGCCCAGGTGCCTGACTCTGGCGGAGGTCCCTTTCAAGTTTATTCTCAGACCCTCCCAACCTTCCCTCTCCATCGAGTGTGAAACAAGAGGAACTAAACGACTTGATGGTAAATACATAGTCATCTTTTTGTCTTTTATTAAAGTATCAAAACATAATCTTGGCTGCAGAAAGCAAAACTTTTTTAGTGCATTTGGTAAAAGAGCTGTCAGTTCCAGTAACCATATAACCATATCCAGTAACCGTATTTTTCAGATCCATTTTTCTGGCCATAGCCACCACCCACTTCCTTCCTCTCCAATCCATTGTTGTCCCTGGCAGCTTCAAAACCGGTCTTGAGTTTCCTAACAGCTGATCGGGGGCACCTGTATCTACAACCAGGGGGTAAATGCGAGGAATTCCCCGCCCCCCCTCCCCTCCTGTCCCCCTATCTGAAAGAAAATAGATGATCTCCTAAAAGAAGTGGTGAATGGTACTTCAACCAGAGGGCTCCTTGCAGACTGGGAACTATCCCTGATGTGCAAATAAAGCAGCAAAAATCAGGACACCTGTGTCACAGGTGAGCGTTTAGAGGAAACACACATGAGTTCAGAGAGGCAGGCTCCCCATTCATGTGCATCAATCTTAACATTTAATGAAGCTACTATCTCTCTGAAGAACGGCATTAGCAGCAGAGCAGCCAGTGTTTATTTCTCACCTGTGAGGGATACCAATTTGCACAGGCCAACAGCAAGGGAGCCCAATTCTGTTCCAGACCTAAGGAATCATATGCCCTGGAGATTCCAGAAAGTTAGGTGGAATACCTTTCTTTGAACTATCACACCTGTCGGGTCAAAAATTATTGTCTCCCTCTCTTCCCCGCTCCATTCTTTCCTCACATTCGAAATACGTATTTGCAACAATAAGACACATATTTGAGACGATAGCTGTAATCAAGTAAATACTTTAAGAGGTGTTCTGTGGCAGAATGTACGGTGTCCAGGGCTCAAGCTGGAAAACAGGTGTATGTTTTAGGCATCCGTACATTCAGAGGAACTGGCAGAGGTATTTAGCAATTCAGGTTGTATATCCAAACTCTAAACAGCAAACAGTTGGTCTAAAGGATACACCCGGTTGGCGCTGTGTTCTAGGGTTTGCTAATGAGAAATTGAGTGTCAGATGCTACAGACCGAGGAACAGGATTGAAAGTCAACTGTCCCACCTAAGTGGCACGCCAAAAAGCAAAGGATGACACTTGGAGAATTTTTAAACTCAATGCCCCTCGCCCTCAATGGAGAGGGAGGGCGTGGGAAATGAGTAAATCTCAACGACCAACCCATTTAAAAGAACAGAAACCAGCACAACACTTAAGTTTACCATGTCTTGGTTCCAATATTTATTATATCGACAGGTTAGGAATACTAGGATAAATAAGTAATATTTCCTCTTACAGAAAAATTGTAATGATACTACCGAGTAGGATTAAACACTCTGAGGATTTCACAGAAACATCAGAACTTAAACAGACAGTAGCCAGAGTCCTGTGGCCAGTGTGAATGACCTCTCACAGTTATAAATGCTCTGGGCCAGATTTCTGCCAACATCTGCATGACAAACAATGCCACTAACATCCAATAATGCTAAAACCCAGGCATCACCTGCCTTCAAACTTGTCTCCACTGGATGTGGTTTTCAACTGCAAGAAAAGGAAAATGGAATATTCTTTGGCTCTTCTGGCCTAGAAAGAACTCCTGACCTAAGTCACCGAGGGGAGAGTCCTAACCCTTTGGAAGTTGGACTTTCTTTCTGCTTTCTTCCTGTGACATTGTAACTGAGTTTGCAACAGAGGGCCTACAGTCATGCCCACAAATTCTGCGTTAATGCCTGGGCGCCGAGGGAAAGGCAGCTTTCTCTGTTGGCACAAAACTACGCTGCTCGCCAGCAGAATTCTGTTCTCCCGGGGCTGATGAGCTCTTGCGGCCACCTCAGCATTTTGTAAGACACTGCATATGGTGGTAGCCGCCTCCCCCACCAAACCCTCAGAAACCAGATCTGAGGAAAATCACACCAGTGTTGTGCAAAACAAACATCAGAAGAACACAATGCCTAGCTTTGAAACAAATGCCTTGCACACAGTAATTCCTGTACATAACAGCATGTTTGCTAGAAAGCACAACCCTGGCCATTGTACAACTTCGCTAAATGCCGTTCTCACTCTGTGTCCCTATAAGTGATGGTGGCAGTGGCAGTGGCAGCTCAGGAGGTGGCCCCACTCCACCCACCCAATGTGCAGACACTTCTTCAGCATGAGTCCTATGGTGGGAGTCCTGGCTTTTTTTGTTTGTTTGTTTGTTTTTGTAGAATCCAGGCAAAAGATGAGCAGGACCCTAACCAGGGGCCATCTGCAGCATCCAAGAATAGCCAGGATGGTTAAGGCCTAAATCCTGGAGTTAAGACAAAAGATGCCCTTGCCCCGGTCCAAAGTCCACTCTGGTGCAGAGAGGAAAGGCCCAGCTGAGTCACCAAGGGCTCTTCTGCCTCGATGGTGCTTCACTGCTGGGATGCGAGAGGTGCACAGGAAGTCAGATCTCCAATGGCTTCAGGGTTTGGGATGTAGAAGGTTTCAATGAGGACTCCCCAATTGCCCCCATACCATGACTGCTTAGCTTTGCAATGTTCCTTCTTTAATCTGTTGGATAAAAAGGTTTCTCTCATCTTCTGGAGTCCGCCCATTCTGAGCCCGGACAATACACGTGGGCCGATGAAGGTTGAGCATGTATATCAAATGCTGCTTCTCATTCTTGAGCTCCTCGATCTGGGCCTTCAGTTCGGCATTCACGCTCTCCAGCTTCTCTGACTCCTGGGGGGCAAGCAAGAGAATTATTAGGAGTGCGGCCAAGGTTCCAGTGAAGAGGAGGGTGGCTTGGGGTGGCGGTGGTCACAGTCATCGGCGTTCATCGAGGTGGGAACGGTCTGCAGAGGGAGTGCCGTGGGCTCCCTGGTACAGCGTCCCCACAAAGCTGGGACAGCAGCATTAGGTCTGGGAGAATCCAGCCCCCGAGAAGCCTTTGAACTTGGGGGCTTCTTCAGAGATGCCCTTGAGTTTCTGCTCAAGGTTGAGGGAGGGCTGTGGCTCCCGTGGTAATGACACTGCAGTAGAGCCAATGGCTCAGAGATCTCCTTTGTATGAGTCCAACAGCCCATGTGTAGCTCTCCTGGACCCACATGGGCCTTGAGGGCTGGGAAGAAATGCAGACCCACGGTGCTGAGGCTTTTGTGAGTCACTGGGTTCATTGAGAAAAATGTACACGGCAACACATACAGTGTCTCGATTTTCATCGCCTCCCCGAAGCAATCAACAGACTCCTTGGGGGCCTGTGGGACCTGGGTGAAGACTCTGCCCTGGCCTGTCCACACTCGGGGGACAGGACACAGCCTGGAACGACAGGGCCGTGGCCCACCCCTCCTGCCCTGAGATGCCATTCCCTCTCATGCTTTTCCCTTCAGGAAGGGGAACCGACTGAACACAGCCAGGAGCTCAGACTATTGGATGAGCCACGAAGGGCAGCAGAGTTAAGAACACACAAGAACTCAAAAAAAAAAAAAAAAAAAGTATAACCACTGCTTTCGGATTAAGGAAATAACTTGTTTGAAGAGATTAATTAAAGGCTTTTCATTCTGAGCCAGTTGAGAGCTGGCAGCTTCCTTTTCTCGTTAAAACGGGTGAGTGAAGCTTCTTTAACTGGGCTGATGTATCCTGCAGCCTGGAAGCTGCTGGACGTGTATGGACGGGCCAGGGCTGCTGGGAACCTGGGCACCAGACAGCCTGCGGCTTCCAGTGCACACACCTGCTTCTCATACATCGAGCGTCACCTTCGTTGTGCTGATAGTTTGTTACCTCCTCATCTAGCAAGTGGCCTTTCTGCTACGGCTACACGTCCTTCTCGAGAAAACACTCCTGTGTAGGGGGCTTTTTGACTCCCTTTGTGACAGCAGCATGAGGCTGGTGGGGGGCAGGCATGAGCAAGAGGAGGGGGCGAGGTGGGGAGGACTCACTTTCTGCAGGCACTCTGTCTTCTCCTTCTTCTTGTTGCGGCACTTGGCAGCTGCAATCTTATTTCTTTCCCGCCGCCTCTTTTTCCTTTCGTCTTCTTCCGGGGCTACCTATACGAGTGAAGGGACCACACACGTCATGGGAGGCAAGAGATCAAGACGTGCGACCCACCTTGAATACACCGCCTTTCACTGCCAGCACAGAGTGGCAAACCAGGGCAGCCCCAGCGCTAAGGGCCTCGGCATGAAACCTCTCCACATGCACAGGCTTGCGAACAGATAACGAAAACCAAGGAACGGTTCGTTCAAGTTACGCGGGCAATATTAAGAAATTAAACCTCAGCTTGTTCAAAAATGCATTTGGATTTTGAAATGAGTTGTATATTCAAACTGATAGCTACTGGATGAAAGCTATAATCATTTAGAGCAGGAAATAGATTCTGTTTGGTCAGTATGTCCTTTCCCCTAGATCCAGGCATGGCTTCGGGAATACCACCTGGCCACCCTCTCCCTCCTGCCTTTTCTTTGACTTGACCCCCATTTGCCTCTATCTTCACCCAGGGTATTAAAGCACCTCCTTCATGAATTCATAAGAAGCTCATGGAGCTCCCGGAAAAGAGGAACCCAGGAGCATCGCCCAAACAAAGCGGCATTATCAGCCCATGGCTTGGTACCACCTGTGGGTGGTAAACATGAACCAACCATTGATTCATCCAGCAAATAAATACTGACCTCTTCCTCTGTGCCCCACTCGGAGTCTGCCGTGAGGGGCCCTCAAAGAATAAAACCCTGTCCTGCTTCAGGATCTGGTCCTCTATGGAAGTTGGCTCTGACCCTGACTTTGTCTCAGGACTGATGGGAAGCCCACAAAGTCGGCCACTGGGCTTTGCTTAGAGGCTGGAGGCCGACTAGGAGGAAGCACCCACAGTGGGCTAAGCAGGTGATGGCCTAGGCTGCTAATGTCAGACCTTGTCTTGTCACTTGTCACAGCTCCCGACAGCAGGAGAGGGTGTGGGAGCCACACCTCAAACGGAAGAAATCCTGGGACCCAATGATCACCGCAGATCCGTCTTATTAGAAGTCCTTTGGATTAGACGACACGGCCTTGGCTCCGCACTGAAGGCCAGAGATTTAGAGAAACAAAGCCCCAGGGGAAAGCAAGGCAAGAAGCAGTTTCGCCTTTTACATCCTGGATCCCAGAGCCATACCGGCAGACATTTGGGTTGAAACAAAACTGGGTTGAATCCCAGCTTCACCACCTATTAGCTCTGAGACTTTGGGCATATTGCAATACTCTTGTGACCCTCAGTTTCCTCACTTGTAAGATGGGATCAATAATCTTAGCTACCTAATAGGGTGGTGAGGAGGGTCAAATCAGTTAGATTAGTTATATACACATAATATTAATTAGGGGAGCCTGGGTGGCTCAGTTGGTTGCGTGTCCAACTTCTGCTCAGGTCATGACCTCACGGTTCGTAGTTTTGAGCCCTGAGTCAGGCTCTGTGCTGGCAGCTCAGAGCCTGGGGGCCTGCTTCGAATTCTGTGTCTCCCTCTCTCTGCCCCTCCCCAGCTCATGCTCTTTCTCAAAAATAAATAAACATTAAAACAATTTTTTTTCATTAAAATTAAAATGCTTTGCATAATGTTTAGTCAGTGCTGTGTAAGCTTCAATTACTGTCATTATTAACCTCACCATCAATATCTTCATCTAGAACTCGGCAACTGTCGTATTTCCTATGCAACCCTACGGACATTTTTGGAGAAGTGGGAGAGGATTCAGGGTTTTCTCAAATGAGGAAGTACTTGAAAGTAGAGCAAATCTCAGAGTCACACACTGTCAGAGATGGAAAAGGCTTTCAGAAACGATTTAGTTCAATTCTCTCACTGTATTGATGTGGAAATGAGGCACAGAGTGGCCAGCAGCAACGTGTCCAGAGAAGCCCAGGAATCACTAGCTCATGGCTACCAGACTGATAGGCTACAAAGCCCGGGTGTAAACCCAGGCTTTTGGCTCCTCATACTGTGTCCTCTCCTGGACATACGGCCTCATTCCATCTTGTTGCCTCCCCAGAGGTGACTGGGATCTGGGGGAACAGGCTCACGCTGCCTACGTACAACAGGATGCTTATGGGTTTCACAGGCTCGGCATCTATTTTAAGAGGAGAATTATAGCAACCAACGGGACCTGAATATTCAACTAGGTCAGCTGGTGCATTCTCTTCCCAGTAGGAAAACCTACTTGTTAAATTGACCTAAGATCAGAAGGTGACTTGGTAAACACAGAATCAGTGGATGAGTTGGGTGGCTTTAAGGAATATTTCCACGGAGCAGGAAATATTCTGTCACCAGATGTCCTCTGCACTGGACATCTCCTGCTTCTTCCTCTGAAGAACCCTCCAAATAGCCTTCCAAAATGCTTTTCTTTCTTCTATGGGGATCTTACTACTTCCCATTACATCCTGTTATCTCAAGATACTTAATTACAGAATTAAAAAAAGTTCCTCGTGTGTCTCAGGGCTCCCCTTGTGCTGCCCAGGATTGAACAAGGCAACGATGGCCTCCAGAGGTTAACTGAGGCACAACAATGCCTCTAATGATGCCTTGTGGATACAGCATCATATGGTAGCCCCCGCTGCCCGTCACGGAATGCTGACTAACAGCCAGACTCTTAACAAACGCGGTCTCATTTAACCCTTACGTCAATCTTATGCAAGAGTCATTATTACCCCCACCTCCTTTTGTAGAATCATGAAGATTCATAACAATTTTCCTTTTAAACTCAGTTCCTTTTTGGCCATGTTCCACTACCCCTTGACCAAAGACAGTGATCAGGCCGATTAAGTAAGCTTGATACACTCCCATCTTTTATCCATGAGGGAAAGGCCTGCAAAATAGCCAAGACCTCAGGTCCTTGGGCCACCACAGCATGGCCAGCAGCCACCTGTTAGACTCCTCGCCATGTCTGTTACTCCAGGTGTCTTCTAAAAGGTTGCTCAAGGGAATTCAGAGACAGAGGTGGCCTTGGAGCCGGGCTGTGAGCATCAACACAGCGCAGGGCATGGCTGGCCAGTCCTGGCTCCACAGTCTGGCTGGCTGGGTCCTGGTGGTGATGAGCACAGTCACTGCCCTCTGTGCAGTCCCCAGCCTGGAGCATGCCTGGCACAGTGGGGGTATGACGAATAAGCATCGAAAGCAGAGGCACCTCGAGAAGAACCTACCTCAGTTTTCATGACTGCCATCTCCAGGGGTCTGCCGCTGACAGTGACCGACTCCAGTGCAGAGGACATCCGGTGACAGAGGTGCTTGTTCTGGATGGCGAACCTCAGCTCTTCCTTGACAAAGGGTGTCAGGTTAGCAAAATCCTCAAACACCAGTGACCCAGGAGGGGACAGGCAGGGGACGATGGCAGAGGCACTGACTTCCGAGGCAGAGACCTGGCCTGGGTGTTGAAGCATCATTTTGCTGAAAGAAATATTGAAACCCAAGCTACTTCAGGGATTTAGGGGCATGGGATCAAGTCTCCCCACACCTGCGGCCTCCAACACCAGGGC